TCTTGCCCGGTGTCATGGAGTTACATGCCAAACAGTTCAAGCAACGAAAACATCCAGCATTAGAGGCTATTGTGAGAGATTGTGAAAAAGACAATTGATCAGTATGTACTAAAAAAGAGAATGAAGTATGGAAGGGTCTTATAATTGGACCGATTATATATTTAAGTGATTTTTCAATATTTATGCTGGAGACCGGTTTTTGTTCTAATATTTCACTACCGTTTGTTTACTGCCGAATTAGGGATTCCTTTGTACAGCAGGATTTCATGCCATAGTATATTTTTATGGTTTGTTGTACAGAATTTGTATTTATTATGTTTTATATAGTTTGTATTTTTTATCCTTTTGACCCTGACAGGGTTAATATACACTTGTAAGGTTTTACTTACTACGTCATCTCTGACGTCACTTGATCTCGTTTTCACCCTTCAATGAGAATTGTTTTGTCATGTATATAATCACTGGTTATTCACTTTATGAATTGTCTTGAAAAAAGTCAGCATCGTCTGAAACATCGAATTTTTTTGTATCCTGCACAATAAAGCAGCATTTATTGTATAAGACTCCAGAGTGCTCTCTTCTTGGATACTACGTACTGGTTGGAGATTATTTGCACCGGAGCACGAAAAGACCGGGAACCTTAAGTGCTGGGACCCGGGTAGGTATATGTATGTGTGTATATATATATATATATATAATATATAATATAATATTATTGTGTGTGTGTAAAATATATATATATATATATATAAACAATAATTATATATATTGTATCAGTCTCCATGTAATTTGAGATTATATATATATATATATGTTACATAGCTGAAAAGAGACTTGCGTCCATCAAGTTCAGCCTACCTCGCATTTGTTTTTTTTTTTGCTGTTGATCCAAAAGAAGGCAAAAAAAACCCAGTTTGAAGCACAATTTTGCAACAAGCTATGAAAGAATTCCTTCTTGACCCCAGAATGGCAGTCAGATTTATCCTTGGATCAAGCAGTTATTACCCTACATTGAAAGATCATATCCTTGAATATTCTGTTCTTGCAAGTATGCATCTAGTAGCCGTTTGAACATTTGTATGGACTCTGATAAAACCACTTCCTCAGGCAGAGAATTCCACATCCTGATTGTTCTTACAGTAAAAAAACCTTTCCTTTGCCTTAGACGAAATCTTCTGTCTTCCAGTCTAAACTCATGGCCTCGTGTCCTATGTAAAGTCCGGTTTGTGAATAGATTTCCACACAATGGTTTGTATTGGCCCCGAATATATTTGTATAATGTTATCATATCCCCTCTCAGGCGACTCTTTTCTAAACTAAATAGGTTTAAATTTGTTAACCTTTCTTCATAGCCGATATGTTCCATTCTTGCAATTTTGTATCCAGCCTCACTTTTCTAGTGCCATAATATCCTTCTTTAGAACAGGTGCCCAAGAATTGTGTGTGTGTGTGTGTATATTTATATATTTTTTATATACTGTATTTATCGTATAACCGCGCACCTCATTTTAAAATTTCAGGGAAAAACTTGGGACCACTAGTGCCAGGAAAACACTGGAGTTTTCTTTTCTAATCACCCTAGTGCCCCACCCTCAGGGACCCCCCTCCGCCGGGCTCTGGAGAGAGGAAGGGTTAAATACTTACCTTTCTCCAGCGCCGGGCGGGGAGCTGTACTCCTCCTTGCTCGCGACGTCATCGGCTGAATGCGCACGCGCATTCAGCCGGTCGCATAGGAAAGCATTTACATTGCTTTCCTATGGACGCTTGCGTGCTCTCACTGTGATTTTCACAGTGAGAAGCACGCAAGCGCCACTAGCGGCTGTCAATGAGACAGCCACTAGAGGCTCTGGAGACTGGATTAACCCTCAGTATAAACATAGCAGTTTCTCTGAAACTGCTATGTTTATAAAAAAAAAAAGGGTTAGTCCTAGAGGGACCTGGCACCCAGACCACTTCATAAAGCTGAAGTGGTCTGGGTGCCTAGAGTGGTCCTTTAAATTTCAAATAAAGAACTTCTTTTCCCCTTCCCCCTCTTACCCCCTTCTTACTCCCCCTCCCTCTCTTCTTACCCCCCTTTCTTACTCCCCCCTCCCCTTCTTCTTACTCCCCCTACCCTTCTTACCCCTTCTTACTCCCCCTCTTCTTACCCCCTTTCTTACTCCCCCCCTCTTCTTGCCCCCTCCCTCACCTCCCTCCCCCCCTCTCTTGTTATTCCCCCACTCCCCCCCTCCCTCTTCGTACCCTCCCCTCTATTCACCCCATGCTTACCCCCCCTCCCTGTAGCGTGGCCGAGCCGCTCTGCTGTCCGCGGTGGCCGGCCGCAGTGATAGGAAGGTGCACGCTCAGTGTGCACCTTCCTGTCAGTCCGACCGGGTACAGGAAACAGAAACTCCTGTACCAACTGCAGCCGCCTGAGCGCTCTTGACAGAGCGCTCAGGCAGCTGCAGTATTTAAAGGGCCGGCGTATAACACGCACCCACAATTTGCTCCCTATTTTCAGGGAGAAAAAGTGCGTCTTATATGCCGATAAATACGGTGTGTGTTTGTGTGTGTGTGTATATGTATATATATATATGTATATATGTATATTATATATATATATATATATATATAGATGTGTGTGTGTGTGTGTAATATTTTTACATAGTTAGGTATCTTAATTACAATTAGCTGGACCTGCCTGACAACCCATGCCAAAAGTAAAGGGAATTTAATTTGCTAGCACTACATTTAACCCTATAACTTTCCAAGACACCATAAAACCTGTACATGGGGGGTACTGTTCTACTCGAGAGACTTCGCTGAACACAAATATTAGTGTTTCAAAACAGTAAAATGTATTACGAAGATATCGCCAGTAAAAATGACGTTTTTTTCATTTTTCATGCACAAACAGCAGTTACACGGACGATATTATTGCTGCGATACTTTTTACTGTTTTGAAACACAAATATTTGTGTTCAGCGAAGTCTCCCGAGTACAACAGTACCCCTCATGTGCAGGTTTTATGGTGTTTTCAAAAGTTACAGCGTCAAATATAAGGCTTGTGTTTCATTTTTTTCACATTAAAATTTGCCAGATTGGGTACGTTGCCTTTGAGACCCTATGGTAGCCCAAGAATGAAAATTACCCATATGATGGCATACCATTTGCAATAGTAGACAACCCAAGGTATTGCAAACTGGGTATGTCCAGTCTTTTTTAGTAGCCACTTAGTCACAAACACTGGCCAAAATTGGCGTTTTTTTGCATTTTTCACACACAAACAAATACTAACACTAACTTTGGCCAGTGTTTGTGACCAAATGGCTACTAAAAAAGACTGGACATACCCCATTTGCAATACCTTTGGTTGTCTACTATTGCAAATGGTATGCCATTATGGGTGTAAATTTAATTCCTGGGCTACTATAAAGTCCCAAAGGCAACGTAACCAATCTGGCGAATTTCAATTTCAAATGTAACGTGCTATATTTGACCCTGTAACTTCCCAAAACGCCATAAAACCTGTACATAGGGGGTACTGTTTTACACGTGAGACTTTGTTGAATACAAATATGTGTAGTTTATTGCAGTAAAAGCAAACAGTATTATGACATTGACAGTTAAAATGTCATGTAGAACTAATGTCTTGTAGAACAAAAATTTTTTTTACAAAATCTTATTTACTCCCATTTTTTTTCATACTAAATTATGTTTCATAGCTAAATATTTATATTTAATATTAAATGAAAGCCCTGTTTCCCCTGAATAAAATGATATATAATAAGGGTGGGTGCATTTAATATGAAAGAGGTGAATTACGGTTGGACAGACATGTAGCGCAAATGCCAGGTTTTGTTTACGTTTTGTTTTGTTCACAACGTGTACATTTGGCTCAGTCCTTAAGGGGTTAATTAATCACATGCATTACAATTGTATTAATGCCCAGAGTTTCTCTTTAAGTATTTTTTTGTTTTTAGGATTAGAACCGATCTGACATGCAAGGATGTCTTTGGTGATCCTGGTAGCATTTGAAAAATCATATTTATTTTGACAGGATTTTCAAATTTGACTTCTGTAGGTCTGCAGAAGCCAGGTGTCATAAACTCTGCTTCTTAGACGACTAGGTGAGAAACAGGACGAGGTAAGAGGACACATTTTTGCATAACTGTTTGTCCCATTGCCAGCTAAAGGCGCCATGGTACTCCTCACATCATAACCACTACAGTGGGCTGTAACCCTCTAAAATACATTTTAAATATTAATTTAATAGTCAACATGGCTGAGATTGTCATAGTGGCAGGAATTAACCAAATTTTCAGGAAGCTAAAATAGAGGAAAAGGAAAAAAAAAAGGAAGGAAGGGAGAATGAAATAAAAAGGGAGAAAATAATGTTAAAAATACTGTGACTACGACTAAAATAACCATAAATGGAAATGGAAGTGCACTCAACCCTTCGTTGTGAAATCCAGGGTGCTCCATGGAAAGTCCCAGTACCCAAAAAGGACCAAAGATAAGTAAATATAGAGAATAATCCAGGCACTCCAACAGGTTCCAAAATTAAGGCAATTTATTTGAACCAGGAACTAGCTTGATAAGGGGCTGAAACGTTGCTGTGTTCCTGGTTCAAATAAATTGCCTTGTTTGGAACCTGTTGGAGTGCCTGGATTATTCTCTACATTTAAGACTAAAATAACAACTGTACCTGTTTATTTTCTTTGACTTAATTTGTAGTTAATGTGTTTCTGTCATCATTTGTTAAAATTGAATATTAAGATAAAAATAAATTATAATCAGGATTAATACCTAGAACACATATAACACCACATAGGTGTGATTTTATATTTAAAATAAAAGGCAGTATTTCATAGAATACCACTGAGGAGGTGATGACTTCTACAACATCCATCTGCCCAATGTACATCCGCCAAGCAAAAGATGTTGGTGTGGTGCTAGAAATATCCCTTAACATTGCGTTTTCTTGTAGGATTCCTTTGAAATTGAGGATAAAACATTTATCACATTCCATGCATCAAAACAGGTTTTTCTGCTACATGAATCTTCCGATGTCTAGAAAGATGTGCGGCCTGGGTAAAACATTTCCCACATTCACAACATGAAAATGGCTTTTCTCCTGTATGAATCTTCTGATGCCGCACAAGATCATGCTTTAAATTAAAATATTTCCCACATTCAGTACATTTAAATGGCTTTTCTCCTGTGTGAATCCTTTTATGAGAAGCAAGCTGAGAAGCCAATGTAAAACATTTACCACATTCAGTACATGAGAATGGTTTCTCCCCTGTGTGAAACTTCAGATGTCTGATAAGATCTTGTTTTACTTTAAAACATTTTCCACATTCTGTGCATTTAAATGGTTTTTCGCCTTTATGAAACTTCTGATGGTTGCTAAGGTTAGAGTGTTGATTAAAACATTTCCCACATTCAGAACATGCAAAAGGTTTTTCACCTGTGTGAATCCTTTGGTGCCTCATAAGATCATACTTTAAGTTAAAACATTTCCCGCAATCAACACATTTAAATGGTTTTTCTCCTGTGTGAACCCTTTTATGCGAAGCAAGTTGTGAGGCCCAAATATAACATTTACCACACTCAGTGCATTTAAATGGTTTTTCTCCTGTGTGATTCCTTCTATGTGAAGCAAGTTGTGAAGCCCATGTATAAGATCTTCCACATTCAGGGCATTTGAATGGTTTCTCTCCTGTATGAGTCTTCTGTTGTTTAGCAACATTTAACACCTGATTAAAATTCTTCCCACAAAATGTGATCAGTTTCTCATTTGTCTCATTTACAACAAACTCGTTATCAGCTGAATGACGCTTGATGAGCTCAGAGTTCTTATTAAAATGTTTCAGACAATCAGTAGAGTTCAGTATTTCCTCTGTGTTGTATGTAATCGGACATTTACCTGATTTAAAATTTTTACCAATGTTCCTAGATTCGATTAAGAACTTGCCAGGAGTTATTGTTTTTGAATTTAGACAATCTTCAATATAAGTAAGAGTATTTTCCATCTGTTCAGTGTGAATATAACTGTCAGGATCTGAGCGTGTTTTCCCTTGGCATACAGCTGGTTCTTCTTTAATATGTAGCGGTAAATAATCTGTTGGTGGATGGTCTATGAGTATAGAAAAGTCTGTGAGATTTCCTACTTCACATGAGGCTGATTCCTCTTTACTAGGAGTAGATGAATATTCTGCCTCTCTATATTCTCTGTGAGTAAAAATGTCTGTGCTTCTGAGATTCAAGTCTTTGCAAAAAAGACGTTTGTTGACTTTTAGTGATTTTCCTTCACCCCAGGTTTTATAACCAACCTGAAAGTTGGGTCCAAAACCAGCCAACGAATCAGAGGTGAGTAATCCAACAGGTACGCATTTATCTATTAAAAGAAAAGGCACATTAATATTTGTTAACTTACTTCAAAATAAAGAAGCTAATCCCCACCTGTGTTTAATGCATTGACCACGTTTACAAAGAGTCACATAATCAAACCTTATCTTACCCAGTGAACAGAGTGATTGGTGGTTCTCCATTACCACTTCATTGTAGAGGTGTTTGTGTCCTTCTATATACTCCCATTCTTCCATGGAGAAATAGACCGTGACATCGTCACACCTTATAGGAACCTGATACACACAATGATACAGTCACCATCCAGCCACATCCCTTGCTTTTACTGTTTATTGTCCCATTCCCAGCAGCCTCACCTCTCCAGTCAGCAGCTCAATGATTCTGTTGGTGAGATACAGGATCTTGTGGTCATTGATTCTGCCATTTACTGGACAGTTGGGTGGAGTCACTGTTCTCAGGCTCTGGATTCTGCTGAATGCTTTTGGTATCTGACTGCTCACACCGGTCTTTCTCACAACCATATGATCCTAGATTTTGAGAGTGACACAAATAAGAACAAGATAATTTACTCCGACACATTTCAACTCATTCTCTCATTCTGTACTCTCATATTTAGAAATGAAGTCTCTTGGTTCTGTCCACTACCTTAAACATAAAGATTACTCATTGATGGGTATTTATATATTAGTGACCATTTTTTCTTTTCAAGTAGCATGTTTAGATTTACTTAAATGAGTGATATTGGAGACATTGCTATATTCTAAGACAGGGATAGGCAACCTTTGGCACCTCAGATGTTGTGGATCACACCTTTCCTGATGCTTTGTATAGTCATTATGAGAGATATAGCACACAACCACTGGGGTACAAAAGGTTGCCTATCCATGCTCCAATATGTTTACAGACAGCAATAATGGTAGGTAGGTACCAAAGTGTTGTCACCCCTTCTATGGATAGGTACTACTCTCGCAGTCTTCCAAAGTTTGAGTATGTATTCAGACACCAGGGATTCATTGATTAGTGTAGCGACAGAGTTAGCAATTGCTGGCGCACTGAGCTTCGTCAACATTGCTGGGCTTTTCATCTTTACATTAAGATGTTTATTAATGACACTAACAAGTAAAGATCTAAAATGTCATTTCTCTATATGAGGTGCTTGCAAATTTATCAGGACCTTATCTGCATTTGTAATCTGAGAATGTGTGCCATTCCTTAGCTTAGCAATTACAGTGGTGGCACATCCAACTAAATAATTTTATCTCGGGGGCGTTGCATAGTCCATTTTGACAGTGTAGGGTTGGGAGTGGAGTGTGGGGGTTTGTATGTTACTTGTGATTTCCAAAGGTTTCTTGGGTTTAAAATGTTGTTCAGATTTTCACTGAAATAGTGGCCTTTGCCATTTTTGTTTGCTTTGTACACGCATTTCGCCATTGTTTGAAGGCAGAACGCCTGAACATTGACCACAATGAATCTCTAAACTAGTACATTTGAATGAGGTCAGCTGTAACCCAGGATGTGCTCTTTTTATTTGCAGTTTACGCAACGGAGCACGCAAATTCCAAACTTGCAAGACCTCGGAATTCAATTGAACAGTCTAGAACTGGAATTAGACATAATCATGGTAAGTTCTTGAGATCGTTTAGAAAGGATTTCTTGAAAGACCTGGTGATTATAACATCGGGAGGGGATTTAATGGCCTTTATTTTGTGTATGCAGTACACTAGATAGTGGTCACTGAAACGGTTAGGGAGAACACCCGCCTCCTAAAGTCTATCAGGACCAGTGGTGAGAATCCAATCTAGTAAAGTATGGTTAGTGTTTTTTTGTGTGTGTGGAAATTGCGTGCAAAGTCTTTCACAGCGAACATGACTTGCTATTTTGAGGATTCAGCCAATCATTATTAAATCTCCAAAAACCAACAGTTCAGTTTTTTGGTTTTGAGCTCTGTTTTCACCAAGTAGCTGGACTGTCACAAAGGGTGTAAGAAATTGATATGTAAAACTGCAATATTGTAGCTAACGTTCTGTGTATGTGACTGGTTTCACATGTTGGGGTCATTTCCTTGATAACAGTGTGATAAGGATCGAAGCTTTCAGTTGCATTTTATAAACACCCAGCTAAGACAAAAGCTTACATCCCTCCAGTATTCCATGTATGTTATCAGGAGATCAGAGTAATAGACATCTAGGTGTAACCATGGAAGTGTGTGTTTTCCCGAGCCATCCAATCTACCCAGAAACCAACCCTAACTGGTCACTTCTTTCACAATGTTACAGTATGGCTGGAGGGAAGAGATCAAAGGGAAAGACAGAACTCTCTGGAGAAAGAGGGCGGGATAAACCACTTTTGGGAGGGAAAAAGGATTCTGGGAGTTTATCACAGCAAGAATGAGTCTTTAAAAGGACAACATCCAAGGAAGTACCTCTCTCTTTGTCTTTTTGGAGAGGACAGCGCAGTAAGCAGGGCCATGGTGAACTGAGAGGCTGTCCCAGATTACCCAAGATGAAAGCACAAGGGGAAGACCTGCATTTAAATGTTTAAGTATTGCCCTTTTATTATGTAGCTTTTGATTATGTACCGGATATAATGTATATTGTGTATATCCTTTTAAAATCTAACAGTATCCTTAAGTGAATATTTACAATACATATTATTATACACTTGTGTTTGTGTCTTATTTGTCACACATTCCCTAAAAGAATATCCTTGTAAGAGGGTCATAATTTCTTACAAGGGAATGCACTGGAGAGCTAAGTGGGTGGTAGATTCCAGCAATTATGATCAGTTTACTGAACGGGGGGTCTTGACTGTACCAGAAATAAAGTCAAGGGTGGCAGAGGAGTGATATCTTTTTTTAAAATGGTGAACTTTATGGACTTGTCCACATTAAAAATGCTGTCATTGCTCTGTCATTTCTTAAGCATGAATAACATTAAATAGCAATGGCAGAGCCAGGAATTTTTGTTGTTAGCCATTGCTCTGAGAGCACAATGATTTTTGGTTTGTAATTGAACACTAAGCTTGTAGTTCATCCAGTTTACGGAATGTCAAAATATATAGTGGCTAAACACGCAGAATTAAGTAACACACAGAGGGAAAAAAATCTAAAAATGATAAACATATTATCAGATCTAAGAATGGACGGACTTCAAGTGGCACTATAGTCACCATAACAACTACAGCTTATTGAATTTGTTCTGGTGAGTAGAATCATCACCTTCAGGCTTTTTGCTGTAAACACTGTATTGTCAGAGAAAATGCAGTGTTTATATTACAGCCTAGTGATAACTTCACTGGCCACTCCTC